AATGGGTTTTTGAAGAGTTATTACAACCTAACAGACAACCTCCTTCTCATCATTTCTGTTTGTTGTCAAAACTGACAGTTGGGGGGCGTGGTTAAATATGAACATTTGAGCCAAGTCATTATTTGGTGCTGAGGAAATGAAACATCTGTGTCATGTGATAGCTAACAGAACAAATCAGGATGTTTAGTTCATGCTGCTGCTATAGACACATTAAAGTGATTTTATATATAAAACATATGATTATTGCATTTAAAACTTAGCTCAGGCTATTTCTGTATCTGAATCTTTGTTTCAAAACATTATTAGGCTGCACAGTGTATGGTTTCAGCATCGATATCGCAATGTGCACATCCGCCCTAGTTACATCGCAGGATCTGCAATGTCGTGTCAGGATTATAGTCAAGCAGGAGCCACAGTTGAAAACCTATATTATTTGTGGAGTTTTTGTAAAGTTTAACTATAAAGTTGCTGAAACGTTCATCACCTGCATGTGTTTTTAAGGCCTGTGTGAGCATTTTAAGCAAGTTTAAAGCATTCAGGTACAAGGATTTATGATGTTTATAACTTAGAGATTATATTTATTGCTGTCATATCAGCAGCACAGCACATAATTATCCAATTTGTGAGTGAATGTAAAGGCATTAAAATATATTTTCCACCCACTAAGATAAGCCGTCGGGCAGCGTGGACATAGACTTTGGCAGCCCACTGGAAAAAGCAATAGCCCTGGGATGTCGAGCTAACTACTTTGCAAGCCCTGATAAAAGTGACCCTGTCGGAACAAGAAAATGACTGAATGTATTTAAAAATGGTTCAGGTCAACTGTTCAATTCTAGGAGACTTTATTTAACATCTTGTTCTAGAAAAGAAAGAACACAGAGGTGAACTGAAAACAGTTGTTTTATTTAAATTTTTTGCAGTCGATACAGTTAGATAGCAATTATTTTAAGTACAGTGAAATAATAAAATACTTGTCAAAAGAGTAATTTTCTTTTTATAAATCACACAAATGAATTTTTTTTTACATTAACAGTCCTTGTGAGATTTTTTTTAATCACCAAAGCCTTTTTATTTTCAATAAATTAATTTTTATTAATCATTTTTTTTGTTTAATTAAGGGCATTTCAAATGATCATTTAGGCCAAGGTCTCAAATAGGCCTTAAAATCGCTGAGATCTGGCTGCTATTTAACTTCAGCAAGTAAAAAGTAAAAAAAAAAAAAAGACTTGATAGGTGAAAATAATTTCATTCTGTAAGCTTTTTTAAAAGTTCAGATAAATGTACTGTAGCATGGCACTAACAACATTACAATTTCCTATATATATATATATATATATATATATATATATATACACTGTAAAAAATTGCTGTTAAAAAACGGTCATATTCTACGGTAAAATAATGTTTTTTCACTAAAACAGTAATATTCTGTTAAAAATAGTGCTTTCTGGGTAACATTTTTGTTTTCGAGAAAGTAACCAACTGCAGAAAACTGTGAGCTAACAGAGTTCAGATTCGATGTTTTGAAGTCTGTGTTTGAAATCACACTTTGTGTCCTTGTTCACTATTTCATACACTAGTTAACTAATATAGTTCACCTGACAGAGTTAATGAACACTAATGAGTGAATTCAGACACTGATGAACACCTGCTGTTAATAATTACAATTACTGAAGAAAAGAAACAAGAAACACAAACAGTGACTTGAGTTACAACATTAAATAAAATAAAATAAAATAAAACAGCTTCAGTCTCAGCAGAGGATCATTAAACAACTCCACAAACAACAGCAGACACACTTATTACTGACTGATTTGACTTCCATACTATTCTCATTGAGATCCAACAGAAATTAAGGTGTTTTTTGTGTCACCGTAATGGAGTGAGGGGCTGATTTAGTTGGGCTCCTCACCCTTGGTCTCATTTAATAAGACTTTCCAACTGCTGTAATACAGAGTATACAAAACGTTTATACTATAGCAATAAAGTTGGGAAGTCAATAAATAGAGAAATCTATTTGTCTGAAATTAGTTCTGATAAATGTTTTGTTATAAATCTGGAAGAAGGGCATCATGCAATAGATTTTATGCTTAGTTGCAGGTATTAATTTAATTAAAGAGAAGTGGAAACAGAAAAGATACCTCCGTAATTACTTAACAGTTAAGAAATAACATACAAAAACAGTTCAGTTATGACAAATACACACTCAGACCTCATGAATCTGACCTTGTATCTCAACAATGGTAACAATTCAAATGTTTCATGCTGCAATGCATGCTGGTAGTGGCACGGTACAAATATCCCAGCATGCATTGCGGTATAAATAAATGTTGTATAATGGTCTAACAGTTTTCTTTATTTGTGTTTGATTCTGCTGTTGTTTATGTTTAGACTTTCAGTTGCCTGTTTGTGAGTTAAACTGTTAATTTTTGTTAAATTTGTTGTCACCATTATTGAGGTTCATATGCTGATTATTGATGTCTCTTTGAGTGCGATTTACACCATAGAGCAGTGTTATTGTCCAAGATATTCTTAAAAACTTCCAGAAATCATTGCCATATATAGACATATAATGTAAAACAATAGATTTAACATTTAATAGGAGCAGTAAATTTTATTATACTAAATGAGAACAGATTCTGCCATTTAATAGCAACATGAACATCACCAGATCTTATTTAGGTTTTTGGCTGGCTTGCCTCAACAAAAGAGCTTTTTAAACAAAGTTCTTAACAATTGCAGCAGCCACGATATATAAATGTTAAAAATGACAGGGCTAAGAGCCCAACTAAAGCAAACTCTGTTCTCCATGATGGTGACGTAAAACTTTAACTTTTTCTCAAGAAGAACTTTAGTAAATGTTATACAAAAATACATGTATTAAGTAATAAGTGTAGCTGGTGATGATGTTTGTAAAGTTGTTTAATCATCCGCTGATCATTTAAATGATTTAATCAGTTGTTGTTCTTCAGGTTATTTCATTATAAAGCTGTGACTAAAGTTTTGTATGTTCTGTTCTTGTTTTTTCCCTTCAGTATTTCTTCATTTGTTCATTGTTAATCCTCAATTATCATTTAATTAGTCAGTTAATTAATGAATTTACTTCAGCTTTGCTACATGTTTCTTGAACACTCAGTAGTGTGGACACTTCAATTAAAACTGAAGTATATGCTCTGGGGTTTAAAGGGTTAAAGGTGTGAGAGGTAAAAACACAGTGTAAAAATGTATTTTAACAGTAATATACTGTTAATTTACACTACAGAAGTAGACTGTAAAAAAACAGTAGATTGCTGGCAACCACAGCTGCCAGTAGATTACTGTTAAATCAAGGAAAAAACAGTATTTTACTGTAAAACCTGAAGCTAATTTCTTCTGTCTGTCACCGTTGTGGAGGAGAGTAGAGCCAGTGTATGAGTTAAAGATGAACAATGAACTGCTGATGTTATTCTGCATGTTTCTCTATTTAAAGATAGCGGCTGTTTAGTTGCTGATGCAGTCAGAATCTCTCTGGTGATTCCAGATTTACATGTATGTGTGCTGTTGTGAAAAATAAGACATTAGAGTTAAACCGAACTTTTCTAATTAACTAAAATAAGTTATCATTATAAGTATGCTTCTAAGCATATATAGCACATTACTTCATAAACTCATTCAGCAGTTGACCAAGTTGAGGCAGTTGCTTTCAGTGAGCAAAATGAGTTCCCTTGAGTATTGTGTAAATCAATGTAGTCCATGTATTTTTACAGCAACATACTGTAAAATAACAGTACATTGCTGGCAACTGCAGCTGCCAGTATTTTACTGTTTTTTAACGGGACAATTTTTAACAGTGTATATATATATATATATATATATATATATATATATATATATATATATATATATATATATATATATATATATATATATATATACATACATTCATACAGTTGAAGTGAGAATTATTAGCTCACCTTTGAATTTATTTTCTTTTTTTAGTATTTCCCAAATTATGTTTAACAGAGCAAGGAATTTTTCATTTGTTTTTTCTTCTGGAGAAAGTCTTATTTGTTTTATTTCGGGTAAAATTTAAATTTTTTTAAAGACCATTTTAGGGACAAAATTATTAGCCCTTTAAAGCTATTTTTTTTCGATAGTCTACAGAACAAATCATTATACAAGAACTTGTAATTACCCTAACATGCCTAGTTAACCTAATTAACCTAATTAAGCCTTTAATTGTCACTTTAAGCTGTATAGAAGTGTCTTGAAAAATATCTAGTCAAATATTATTTACTGTCATCATGGCAAAGATCAAATATGTATATGATAGAATATGTTTGTGTGTGTGTGTGTGTGTGTGTGTGTGTGTGTGTGTGTGTGTATGCATAAAATAGTAAAAGGGAACAATTGACAGTAATTGATACACTAAATTACATCAAATCCAAAACAATCTGCAATATTTGGGTGCCTTATATCTGCTGTAAATCATAACAGATTAGAGAGGCACATCACTGTATGCATCCTCGTGATTAAAAGAGATCAAACCAACAACTGACTACAAAACTACAAATCAATAAACTACTAATAAAAAAACTAATAATCACAACTAAACCTATCTATGTAATAGTCAAAACTGTTAGCATTTAACATTTTAGAGATTTTTTAGAGGTTAAGGCCCAATCCCAATTCTATATATTTTTTAACCCCTTTCCCTTCGCCTTAGCTCTTGAAATAGAGTGTGAAGAGGAAGGGCTTAAAAATTACCGTTAAGATATTGTACAGCACTACAACATCTGCACACATCATATGTCATCGCGATCTCTTGCTTTATATGAGATGAGACGATCACGACTGCTGTAGTTAGGCCAGTTGTGTTATTTTTAGGTATTTATCTTAAGGAAATCACCAAAGGCAATGGTATCATGTTATCAGAGGATATAATGTGGCAATAAGATCATAACTGTGCTTTTATAATTATTTTTTTCATAAAATGTTAAATTTTTTTAAAAGCAAAAAAACAAACCCCTTTATGAACGCATTAAAACATATGCTTGTTTGTTGTAAAAATTCGTATTAATGGCAAAAAATACTAATTTGTGCTTCTTATGCCTTCAAGCTAAAGAGAATTGGGACACCTCTGCCCTTTCACATGAAATCGCAAAAGGAGGGGCAGGGGTAAGGGCTAAGGGGTACAATTAAGATTGAAGTGTTAGAATTTTTAAATAATCATGTTTTATGTGTTCTGTTGGTATTTTAAACAAAGCATTTATCCAAACTTTTAATAGCATCTGGCTTTGTATGATTTTTCCATTCGTCTGGGATCTTTCCATGTCCATCAAATGTTTTCTCATATTTTTGTTCCAGATTTTTCTGGAATCTGCACACAAACCACTTCCAGTAGGGCAGCTCAGAGAGGTCAGGGGTGATGCTCCATGTTGCATACACTCCTCCTGCTTGTTTGTAATCTTTATATGGGAAACTCACGTCTGATTCTAAAAATTGTTTATCACTAGCCACTGAAGTAGTGCAAAAACCAGCAGACAGATGTGTTGTTTCATTATAATGCCATCCATTGATTCCATCTACTCTGTGGAAAGGAACACTGTGGTCTTCATCATGGTTTTCTATGGTGTTTGTGCAGATGGCGGCACAGAACGGACACTGAGCCCAACAGCATTGACAGAAGTGATCAATCAGAAGCTTCTCTGGTCTACATGTGACATCAGTTTTTTTCTCAAAATTCTCTTTGTTGACTGCACTGCTGATCTCAGATGTTATTTTTGGAAGATCTTTTTTAATCACAACTTCAAGGAGGTTGAAATCATTAACATCCTCATGTGAGACACCGCTGAAGTTTGTTTCAGAGAAGATCAACTCTTCTGAGAGCTGCTGTCTAAAATTCTTCAACCACAAACCAACATCACCGCTATTGACTTCTTCGGTAGATTGATGTGCTGCTTTCACAATCTTCTGCTGCAGAAGTTCAATGTTCTCCTTTATCTTGGGTAAAACACTGATGTTGAACTTTTCACTGATGTACCGACTGACTTCATCTCTGATGAAACTCTTGAAGTGATCTTTGGGTGTTTCAATGTACTTCATGTATTTGTCAAAGTTCTCCTCTTCTGCCAGTGTCTTTAGAATGTGTTTCTCCAGATTTGATCTGTTTCCATTCAGTGAAGGACAATTTGTTGTCATTTCATCTGCCAATTCTCTGGCAGTTTTCTTGTAAACGCTCTGCTCAATGGGCTCTTTAAGCTTCTGACAAATGATCTCCCCAAAAATGGCAGCTGACGAAGTTCCATGGATATGTTTCTGAAAAATACTGTAGTACTCCTTTCTCTTCTTTTCAATATATACAACAGGATCATTGGCTTCCCTGAACAGTCTGTGCTGTTCTGTGAATGTCTTAATTGATCCATTACAGATGGAAAGAACCAACTCCACAAAGAATTCATTTTTGAACTCATATTTGACGTGTTCTTCCTCATGTTGTGTTAGTCTTGCTTTGATGTAGTCTATAAGTTGTTGAATGCAGCTGTTATTGTAGCCCATCTTTAAAATGTTAAATGACTCTATAATGTTGTCTGTCTGCTGAGCAAGATCGGTGATTAATGATCTTATTTGGGATTGATCCTCTCTTGATAGACTGTAGCCAAGCTTCTCTCTAGCATATGAAAATGGATTTGTAAAAGCTTCTGTTAATCCACTGGGTTTTTTAATCTTTACATAATCATCATAGCTCTGCACTATAAAAATATTCCTGTTCTCCTTCCAGTTGTCAACAGAAACGCTTCCATAATTATCATGGAGTAGCTTTCTCACATCTCTCATTATATCAATATCTTTTATTTTAGGAGTGTCTTTGATGGTGTTTTTCACAGTTTGTTGCCAAAACGCATCAAACTCTTTCTTCAGTGTTTCTTCATCTTTTGCTTTGTCTTTGAGTTTTAAGGCAAGTTCTTTGCTCTTTTCATAGAGAGTGTTTTCGTGATGTGTCCTCTGAGCATCAATCTTTTTCTTCAGGCCTCGCTGCTGGAGAATGTCATTAAGCTTCCTCTTTGTTTCTCTGACAATGTTTTCCTGAAGCTCCTTGATTTTGATCACAAAAGATGTTTTCCACTGAATCAGTATTTCTACATCAGTGTCTTTCTCAAAGAATTCTGACATTGAATTTTTTACTTCTTCACTCCTCTTTTTTAGTTCAAATTGAAGATGGGTTTCTTCAACCTCATGAATGTTCTCATTTTCTATTAGGTTGTGCAGTTTGTTTTCAGTTTCTAGCATAACACTGCGGAGCGTCCAGGACCACTTGCTATATTTCGTTTCCAGTTTCCTGTAGGCTGAAATCTCCAGTGAATTTCTAAAGCTAAAGACAAATCGTTCATTCAGTAAAGCCTCCCAGAGATCGTTAATACGTTCTTTTATGTCATCAAGCTTTATTCCTTGTGATTTGGAGGCATGTGAAATAATGGATTTCTTGAGCTCTTGTACATTCTCACAGTAGTTTGGGTTTGGGGGTGCCATTGGTGGACTGCCCTCCCAGAGCTGAGCAAAATACTTTATGTCATTCTGAACATCAAATTTGATTACATCACTGAACCTTTCTGCATCACAGACTTCATCTTTAGCAGCAAGCTTTGTCATTTCATCCAGTGTCTCCTGTAGTTTTCTCCTTCCCTCCATGTTTTTCTCTCCAGCTGTGATGTCTGACACGTTCTGATGCACAAACACACAGCTGGGATACAATCTGACCTTCTTCATCCTCATGAAGGCCTGAACAACGATCTGAAGAGTGTCCTGCATCTCAGAGGGGTTTTCTCCAAAGATGTTGATCAAGGTCAGATTTCCAAGACCTATAACAAATGTGGCCAGTTCATTGTCATGACCTCTTGTTGATTTTCCAGCCAGTTCTAGAGAACGAAGACCTTCAGTATCAACAACCAGAATATAGTCAAAGTTCATCTCAGTTTTCATTTCGTCAGACACTTTGACCAGCTGCATGAAAGCTCCTCTGGTGCATCTGCCAGCACTGACAGCAAACTGGAGCCCAAACATGGCATTCAGCATGGTGGATTTCCCAGAGCTTTGAATCCCTAAAACTGACAACACAAAGACTTTCTGGTCTTTCAGTTGCTGGACAAGCTGATCCAGTACAGCAGAGACCCAGACTACAGGAACATGAGCAGCATCTCCATCCATCAGCTCCAGTGGAAACCCAGAGATCATCATCTCTGCTGCAAGACTTGGGAGAGGAGAGGGTTCAACTTGCAAGTTTTTGTTGATCTCCTTCACAGATGAACATGATTCATAGATCTGACTGATCTCCCGCATGATGTGCTCCAGACCAAATGCTGCTGCTTGAAGATCTTTAGATATTTTCTCAAGTTCTGCTTGTTTAGCTTTGAGTTCAGGTTTATTGTTGTTGTCCTTCTGTTCTTTTAGCTTTACAATCATTGACCATGTTGTATTATACATATTATGTAGTTTAGAAAGGTCATCTGAGCTATGTTCATCAAGGAGTGTTGTGAGCCATTTGAGGAAAAAAACCTTATGTTTGGCATGTGAATCCATTGTTTTAATAAAGTGATTCATAAACTCACTGATGTCAGTTTCATGCTGCTGTTTACGAATGTTCATCATTTCTGTTTTTTTGTCACTTACTATCTTGTCTGGTTCATCTCCCTGAGGTCGGTGTAGTTCTTTGTTCTTCTGACACCATTGATGCCACAGTTTCCCCTGATGAGGCAGAAATGATTCTTTAATTTCTGTCAGATTTTTATTATCCAGTAAACCGATCATCTGCTGTGCTGCTTCTCTTCCTCTCCTGCAGTCTTCATCATCTTCCTCATCGACTCTGATGTCTGAGAATTTGAATGCATCAAGTCTGAAATTTGCAGATGCTTCTAAAAGGCAATCTTGTATTGCACCTCTGAGTTCCTCAGATACATCTGACTGATTTCTGTATTTCAAACCAATTTTGAATTTTTTTCTCTCTAACTCAAATATATTAGAATCATCCTCGGTAAAAAGGCAGATGAGTGGCTTTGGGTTTGTGAACAGTTCTTGGATTATTTTTGCACTTCTGTCATTGCTGTCAAGTTGTGGCAGAAGAACTACATTGACTGAGGCCATTTCTATGAGGATCTTCATCTGTTTCTCATGTTCTCCTGCATCTCCATGTAGATTACAGAAGGCCACGCAGTTATTGAATTTATCAGTGTCTTTTCCAGAAGGACAAAACCAGGCGATCTCCACCACTCCATCCATCAGAACTCTGGATCTGCTGCTTCCAGCGCAGTTCCTGTGGAAGAATGTGTTATGTTTCTCATTGATCAGGCTGTTCATCAGATGAGATTTGGATGAAGACACTGAGCCAAACCTGAAGAAAAACACCATTGGAGTTTCTGCCTTGTAGATTGGCTGTGTTTGACTGATTGTTTCATTGTTGGTGTTTCTGATCTTCCAGCTCTTGGCAATTTTTCTGAATGTCCAGAGTGAAAACTCAGTCTGTTGTGTGAATGGGTCAGGAACAAGCAAAGGCAGAGCATACTGACACTGGGACAGTTTAGTGACCATCATCTGCTTTAGGAAACCATCAGCACAATGAAACACAGCCATCTGCACATCCATAGGGTCGATTCGCTCAGGTTGTTGGGGTCTTTTGTTATACAAAGACATTGCTTTGAATATATCACCACCATGACTAGTTGAGCCAGTGTCTGTTTTCTGTTGTTTGAATGCATCTTTAATTTGAATGTATCTTGCTCTGTAGTCCATCATGAGTAATTTTTGTAAGAACGTCGGAACAAGCTCCTCTTCAGCACATGACTCAACAGTCTGTAATGTATATTTTGTTATCTGAAGAACATCTGCAGCTCTCAGTTTGTCTTTTCTGTAAAGGTGAAGTCTTTGAAATAGTTTCTCTGTTTTTTCAGTGTTTTTCTTTTGTTCATTTTGATCTGTTCCAACTTCTTCTTTTCCGGTGTGCTTTCTTTGACTCTGTTACATAAACAAATAATAGTACTTAGTACTTATATGTAATTCAGTGTTTTTAATCAGTTTTGAAGAGAACTACAACAAACCAGTGTTAATTTCGTTGATGAAAAGGTTTTGTCATAATTTTCATGATGAAATTGTTTCTATAGATGAGAACTAGGTAAGATAAGTGATGACAACGACAACTATAATAAAAATATACTGACATTTTTGTTGACTAATAAAAACGATACGAGAGTGTGATTGAGAGATGTTTTTTTGGAATCAGAATTAATCTTGGTGTGTGATGCATGATGCACACACACACACACATTTTAAAAGTAACTTATCCACATTAGATGTGGGTTGCGATTACGTCATCATTCCTAAGGATGATATCAAGACAAAACAACTAAACCGTATAGGGAGGAAATATCTAATAAAACCAACAAATCTAAAGCAACATCAACATGCCAGAGAATCATCCAGAAATCATCAATCTTTTTTATTTACCCATGTGTGTGCTTTTGCTTAACTGAAACGGTATACCCTCTAACTGAGAAATGACTTTGTTAGATTGTACAATAAAAATTATTACATCTGTAACTAGGGATTTTCAAAATAATCGATTAACCATTAACCGAAAGGGTGCGTTTGCAACCGATTAATGCTATCAGTTAAACGATTAAAAATATTATTTTATATATTTTTAGTTTGGCTGCATAAGGGGCCGATTGAATGCGCCTTTGCGTTAAGAGGGTCATCTTTTGCACGCGGCTCATCCCAGAGTAGCAGTTTGTGCTGTCAAGACAACTACAAAGAACTTTTAAAGATCATGGTTTCCGCTATTTTCATTCTTCCATGGCGGGGACCAAAATGCATCCATCCACGGCTACATTACCCATTCAAAACATTCAGTCATTGTTGTTGTTTTTTATTAGCGGATTATAATCGCACCAAAACGTATTAAAAGGTAAGTGAATCACAACAGCAAAAGCTTTTCTGTAACCGTATAGTGCTGTGCGCTATCTGTTTAACCTTTTGGAGTTACGTGCTGACTAACTGACTGACAGGTGCGCGATGCGTGAGGCTAGCAAACTCAACGAAGCTTTCAGTTAAGATGAACACAGTTTCTATAGTTATACTTTATTTATAGATAAAGGTATATGACTCTGTATATAATCACTCTATCTTGCTGGAGTTTATAGCCGTTTCGCTTCAGGACGCATTAACACCGCTCTGAAGGTCTAATCGCTGTTTTAAGTTATCCAGAGCTGTATGAATGTACAAAAATTATTAAATATTACAATTGTAACAATATAGACAGCAACACTTTTGCACAATTGATTCCCAGCTGATTCAGTCATTTCATTAGAGGACCGGGCTTCTTCTCTTCTTTTTTCCTTGTCAACATAAAGGCAGTGAGATGTGCCTTGTTTTCGGCCCCTTGTTCAACTGCAAGACATATTTAACTTGCGGGACGATAACGTATAACCCATGCCTACAGACACATTTGCCAAAGAAGCAAAATGCAAGAAGAATATTGCTTGAAACAGACGTGTTGATGCCAAATCGCGCTGATGTTGACCTGGATCTGCGTAATAAACGCAACAAATAGGCTTTACCTTTTATTTTACATCTTATAAAGCATGTATGCACATTAACGCAATATTATATTTAAACAACAAAACTGTTTACAAAAAGTCAACATATGCGCGCGTTGTTGCTGTCTTTTCATCACGCAGCGCGCGCACTTGAACCACGAGGGAGAGAGAGGAAACCATATATCAGGACATATTCTTTAAAATAATGATTTCTATTACAAATGTAAAAGGTTTTGTGGTTCATATTAATAACAACGGGGCATTAAATAAAGGCATATTTTCCGTGGAGCAAGCAATTTAAGAAAGTGCGATTTTTATTTGACGGAAGAAAAAACATAGGCTATGATGTGGGAAAAAAGCAGCCTATGCCGGTTATTAAAAAGAATCAGTCAGTATTTTCGTTTTGTAATATAAATTAATTATTTAAGTGTAAATAATTTAGGGCAGTCCTATTTATTTTATTCATTTTATTTAGTTTATTCTGATCTTCTGTGCTAAACACTGCAGGTGCGTGAAAATGCTCTGTTGTATTGTTCTATTATTATTATGCTAGCATGTAAAAATAAATCAGTAGCCTATTTTAAAAGGCAATATTTAATGTGTCAGACACAAAATAGACACGTCAATTTGTTTAATTTAAATTAATAGTAATCTGACCAGTTAACCATTAATAACCGATTAATGAGCGGCGGTTGTCAGTTAGCAAAATTAACCGAAATGAGCATCCCTATCTGTAACATGATCATGGCATTAATTTTTTTGTGTGGAGTTGTTTCCCCAAGCATTTAATTTTAGCTGCAGCTAAAGCTTAGCTTGCCTGATTGAACTGCTTTATTCAGCACGTCATTCTGTGACGTGATTATTTCTTACTGTAATTCAATTCATCTTTATTTCTATAGCGCTTTTACAATGTTGATTGTGTCAAAGCAGCTTCACATAGAAGATTGTAGTGAATTGAAACAGTGTCAGCTCAGTTTTCAGAGTTGAAGTTCAGTTTTGTTTAGTTCCGTGTGGTTTAATATTCAATGCTGAGAGTCCAAACACTGAATAGTAATCTATCGATGCACAGCTCAAGTCTTCAAGTGTAACGCCTGTTTCACACCGCAAGCGTCAGCGGCGCGTGAGCAGAGCGTGTGTTTTCGGCGTCCATGTTAACAGATTAGAGCTTTCATACCGCACGCAGCAGCAGCGCGTCAGAGCGAGGCGTGAGCATCGCCGAAGCAGCAGTGCAGCGATAGTTTCGGCGCTGGGTCTATTTTTGACGCGCTGCTCACGCTCAATTAAAGTGACAGTGCATTGATAATGACCAAAACACAATGAATGACAGTAAAAAGTAGCAATTTTACCCAATAAATACGTTAATAATGTCAAATGGTTTATATATAGTCATTCAAATAAACTTAAAACGATTAAAAACGGCAACAAACATTTATTTAGGCCCGAACTACAAAACCAAATGTAAAACAATTTTAGTATCAGTTTTGCACAGTAGAGTTGCAGGAGAGAGGGAATAGAATATTTACGGGATTTGTAGTCCATAGCGAAGTGTATTGTGGGTAGTGTAGTTCGACACGCATGCTGGATTATGTGAGCTCGCTGTGTGTTGTGCAGCTGAGCAGAGCAAGAAAGTTTTAATCGGCTTTGTTTTATGTTCACTCGAGTTATTCCTACCGGGAGCTGTTTGCATTGTGAATCTGACAACACAAAAATAAGTAAAAGAATGGCATGCATTGGTTACTTTTGTCCGTCTCATCATCTGCACGAGCAGGAATTAACGAGCTGTTATTCTGCCGCTGGACATCACTAAAGCGGAGAAAGTTACACTAGTTTGATCATGTATAAATATCATTATAACTATATTGTATAAATATGATTATAACTAGGTGTACAGCAACCTGATAATCAAAAAAACAAATGACATGATATCACAGGCGATTGTCTTCTGACTGTAGACACTTCTCATATAAGTTAGCTTGAGAAGCATACAGTACTGTTTGATCTATAAAATTTGTAAAATAAAAATTTGCAGGTTAAAGAAACACCATAGGAGGGGCTTTGGTGCAGATGAAAAGTTTAAAAGGTGTATTTGTATATAGAGAGACATGGGTAACGTTCGAGGTTACTAAAGTAACCCTTCGTTCCCCGAGGAGGGGAACGGAAGCACTATAAGTGGATTTGATTTGTAAAATCCACGCATTGGGAGGTTCGGTTCAGAAGCTACTCGTCTGAAAGAGTATTGAACGGGCCAATTAAGAATGAATTGGCAGCGCAAGCCTGCGCAGGTGAGCGGCATAAGCAATCAACTGAGTATATAAGCTCACCTGGCGCAGCAGACGCTATCCTTTTTAAGCTGAAGAGACTTTCAACAGCTAAGGGACAGTCATTATGGCGACGGAGTATAGTGCTTCCGTTCCCCTCCTCGGGGAACGAAGGGTTACTTTAGTAACCTCGAACGTTCCCCTTCGGGGGGAACTTCAGCACTATAAGTGGATTTGATTTGTAAAATCCACGCATTGGGAGCCCATTGAAAGCGCCATAATGACTGCACCTTACCAACACCCCCGATGAGGAGATAGTCAAGCAAGCGTGACGCACCCGCATCATGGGGGGCGCGGTCCTCCAACGTGTCCCTGGCCCTAATTTATCCTACTTCAACAGAAGTTTTACGGATTTAGATATATTTTTTGGGAAGTCGTGAGCATCTAGATAATTCTAGGAAATACGACAGTACGTTGGGAAGCGTGCAATCCCGATAGGGAGGACGCTGCGGAGGCCATCCGTTACCCGAGGGGGGATAGATGGCAGAATTTACATATGGACTAGCCCTAAAAAGGGGGAGTACGCATAGCAAAAGAGTGGTTAGCGGGGAGGGAAGACACGGGTCCGCCCAGGGGGGGGACTTAACCGTGGCGGAATAAGCATATGGGATCGCCTAGTGGGGATCACGCATAGCAGGCACCTTTACCCAAAACGCGGGCTGACCAGCGGGCAGACCTACAACGTAGTGGGCCAGCAAGTGACTCCTCCGCTGAGTCAGTGCTGGGGGCCACGGAGGAATCTGCAGGGCTCACCTGACGGGGATCTTTACTGACAGATAAAAAGGCGCACGTATCTCCGTGTTAGGGAAAATGGCGCAGCAAGCGTGTTTCAACACCCTACCGAATTGTTTCCTCAATCACCCAGGGTTACCTAATACCCTTGAGGAAACCGGCTCCACTCGCAGATTGTAAAACCTTGCAAATGTGTTGGGTGTCACCCAGCCCGCAGCTCTACAGAAGTCTGTTAGAGGGGCGCCGCGTGCGCGCGCTCGAGAGGATGCGAAACTCCGAGTGGAGTGCGCACGCGCTCTCGGGGGACGCGGCTCATCTCGGCTCTGATAGTGAAAGAAAGGCATCCACAATCTAGTGGGAACTTATTTCG